GAGAAACTCGTGGTGTAGATTTTATTTATTTATATATTTCATGATGGTTTATATACAAAATGTAAAATGTACAACGTGATATTATAAATTAATAAGTATACATATCATGTGGAGTGTTGCATCGCCGATCTAGGCATAAAAAAATGTATTTTAAAGATGATTAATAAAAAATACCATTTTATTTTTGAGGGGGGAGCCTGTATAAAACGTTTTTAAGACCTAACATTGTCATGAAGCTTTCAAGTAAGCAATAAAAACTCATTTGTTCAATTTGAGTATTATATCCTTATGTCAAAATAAAAAAGAAACGTAGGATAGTTACCTATTATTCACAGCTGCATATATAGTAGGAGTTACGTACTGTAATATTTTGGTTAAGTGACACAAACGTAAACTGTATTTTTGAAACCTACTCTTATTATCATCAATTACTTACAAGTAGACTATTTAGTTTTAATATGATAATGACAGAAATAAATACCAACAAACATGCATGCTTTTCTATTCGAGTTAAAATTTTAATTTGTTTAAAAATGTCCACAAAACAAATATGTTTAACCCTAGTATGCTAAATGTTCTTTAATAACTGTTTATATCACCAATTATTTTACAGTTACAGAAATTAGATGTTAATTTTAAACTGTGACAACTAATGGTACATTTACTGTTTAATTACTGGTTGATTATATATGTAGAATACACAGATACTAGATCCTTAGAAAAATAATTTAGAAATGTCTGAGTCAGTTTAATTGGAGGCAAACAAAAATAAACATAAATAAAAAGACCAGTTGAAACATATGATAGCGAAATATGGACCATGGCGGCACAAGACTACTACTCCATCGATTTGAAAGGAAGATCCTTATGAAATACTTGTATTCTGGCACAAACAAGTATTGAAGTCCAGGGTATGCACGAACAACGAATGATATTATAATAAACCAAGTATAGTTCAAGAAATCAAATCAAACAAAATAAGATAGCTGGTACATGACTTAATATTAGTCAAAATGGTCTGAGAAAAAGCCCCTAACAAGCTTGGAACACCCTCAAAAGGAAAACTCCACTCCTCTCAAGTTGTGAGTTGACTCAATACTTGTGAGTTGTGTCTCAAACATTCTTGGTATCTATGTTTGAGACACAACTCACTGTAGTATTGAGCAACAAAATTGAGTAACATTGGTAATTTATAAAAAACAGCTTTTTAAATTATATTATTTCGTTATTTCAAAACTGTAAAACATTACAAAAAAAGACAAGAATGTTTTTTAAGCTAGTCAGAGTGGTTTATGTTATAGTGCATAATAAAGTGAATAATGCTAAATCATCCGCAATCTGGTCATATGGTTCTTCTTTCTCTTTCGTTAATTCAGTCAAGTCTATTACTTCGAAATTGATAACTTCTTCCATTTCTTTCTCAGCAGCCTCTCCCATTCTTGGATGTTCTTCCATTTAGTAAATTATAATTATAGGCAATGTAAGTAAGTTTTCCGGCTCTGTTTCTTCTTGGCCGATGAACAAATCCATTAGGTAGTACTAAAGATTCTTTCGGTTGCGGCTGTTGACGATGGTAAATTTAAAACGTTTACAGCCAACATATTCATTTTAAAGCTGAAGCAAATTCCTACCAACCAGACAAGTTCAAGCGATTTCTTTAGCAAAAATATTACCTCTAATTTTGTATTGTACCAGTTGGTGCTACAATAATGAGATCTACTAGTGAAAAATACTTTGGATGATGCCTTTGCAGTTTCATAGATGAACTCCGTTGCAATTAAATTTTCAGCTTAAGTTAAATTTTCGCCGCGTATGTTTGGTTATAATAGGTAGGCAGAAAAATGAGCAGATCTTAAACATTTTCCGACCTAGCAACGGATAAATCTGATACTTTCCTACATAATATAGACCTTATTTCAAAAAAGCAGGTAAAAATTGTTGAGATTGTTGACCCGTTAGCTTCAAAAATTGTTAACCACTTAGAGATTGGCTTAAACAAATCATAAACTGCTTGTGTTTGTAGCCAAAATTCGTTTCAGAAGGCTTACTGTGTATGGTGTAAGAACATCAGAAATACATGGGCTATTATCAGTTCATAAGCTTTTTAATGAGTGTTTAGTGTCCAAAAAGCTGTTTAGACAATAAACAAAGCAGTAAAAAAAAGAAAAGAGTAGAGCGGGAAAAGAACAATATTTCCAATGTTACCGATCTTGCGGTAATATTACGTAATATTATCAAAATTTCCGGTAATATTACCTTTTACATCACTAGGTATGACTGATATCAGAGATAGAGAACTAACCGGGAGTAAAACCGTCTCAACTGGCTTTTGTCAACGCACTTAGATTGTATGATGAGTTATGACCACTTTGGCACCCACAACTTCGATGACGTGACGACATTTGCCTGAACTCTGGGGATCAATTGGGAAAAGACCGCTCAGGACGAGGGAAGGAGAACTGTTGAACAGTAGAGCCATGGGTGATGGTTGTTTCATACAGGATATAGAGATTTGTATTTTAAGCTACCCTAATAAAATTGCCGATAATTTATATTAGTCCTTATAATTCTAGAAAAAAATAATGCAAAACAATGATATTCAAGGTCAGCACTGCAAGCAGAATTTGTCATCCATTATTTTGACTCAGGCACTTTCAATGAACAATAATTTTTAAATAGCTTATTTTCCTTTATCGGATATTTTCCATATTTTCACCGTCGTCGCGTCGTCCACAGATGCGATAAGAAAGCCGTTAATTCGTTTTGCGGTATTTTTCATGACAAATAAGAAAATTAAATGCACAACAACAGGGCTGACTATAAAAATTTTAGAATAGAATTTCTAGAAGGCGATTACACATTATACAGTCCAGAAGTAATCGTCCATTAAAATAAAACAACAAATGCGTTGTTATTATTTAATTTAAAACATTTATCACAGTTTGTTGGTGCTGCGATAAGTAGGGGGATATTCTAGAAATAGTGTGGTGACCGTGAAGCCAGCTTTTGTTGTTCTTTAAAAATAGATCTTTCCATTGCTGCTGTTATCGCGAATATTAATTAATTCCTTATTTTTGTACATAGAAAATCAAATTTTATGGGAATAAAAGAAATTAAAGCCAATAGAAGGTACTATGGAATAAACCATTAAAAATTCGGCCAAACCGTGTTGAGAGATAGATCTTTTATCAATATCATCTTTTATAATAATCTTCTCAATATAATAAAACAGTTCAAAAATATAGAGACAGCAAAGAGAGATAAAGCAGAGAATAATGCAATATTGAATGAACAATAATGCACATTTTTATAAAAATTATAAATAAGTATTTAATTACTTAAGAAAATTACTTGAAAAAATTCATATCTAAAAAAATAACGAATCTTTTAGTAAATAGTAACATGTAATTTAAAGAAAAAAATGTAAATATTTAACAGTAATCTCAAGAACTCTTCAAACACATGATTATAATATGATGGCTTAGCATATCTATATTCCTTACATACTGACTCTGATACTGAGTACGTTTTAATAAACTAATACCGTATGAACGAAAAAAACGGCACCCAGTTAGCTGGGATATGACAATCTAACTGAGAAATTACAATCAATGTCATTTCCCATAGAAAATGACAGCAATATTCATTTGACAGCCATCGATGACGCCGCACATTGATGCAGAAGTTCCCAATAGCGGCAAAAAATCAAAATATCAGAAGTATTTTTTTAATTATAATTTCACTCATATACTTTCTAATAGTCCATATTTTCAGAATCGTGAAGATTTTTGAATAAAAACGGGGCCGTTATTAATCCCTGATAAGAAATGTTCGAGCATATAAAATTATTAGCTGAAGCTAAACTATTTTGATTGAATTTTGATTAAATAAAATTAGTGCATTTAACGTTGGTGATAAATTAGCTAAAAACTGATGGTACTCTGAAAAAATACAATGTTTTAAACTGTTTTCCCTCATGACAATTCTAGTTTCATTACCTTCGTTGTATACCGAACGGCTCTAGCATGGCAAGCTGTACCTTGCTACGCAAAAGGCGTTAAACGCTATATACGGGAGCTATTACTATATATTATTATTATTAGAAAGAAAACTGGTAATATATTTTTTTCTTATTCAATTTAATTTTCGATATACAGGGTATTCAAATTTAAAAATAATTTTTTAATGTGTAATTTTAAATAGCTTTTCCCAGTTAAGCCTAAGTTTTTATTAATTTTGTTCTTATATGACATTAAACTTAATATTATTAGAAATCTCATTAATTTTGAATAATTATTGTTAATATAAACTACAAAGATGTGTCAATGGGTCTATGATGCATCAACATTCAGTCAACAACTTTTGTCAAGAATGTCATGCATCTTCTACTAATTTTCTCGGATATAGTAAGAGATCACCAAGTCAAGTAAAATGGAACAGCATCCTGAGCCTCTTAAACTTAAAAGCGTATTTTGTTTCCAAAAATACGTTTCTACAGAATAGTTTTATGTCCACGGATTATTGAGACACCTTGTCAAATTATACAGGGTGAGTCTTAAGTACGGGACAATATTTTCAGGGCTGGTATATCTCGATTAAAGGAACATTTTCTCTTTACCATTTTTTAAATAAGTCCAAAATAGCTAAGTTATTTTACATTGGGAATTAAAGAAACAATATTTTGTGCTTAAATTTGTGAGAAATATTGAATTTTTTTGTGAGAGAAATATTGAATTTGACTTTTTTAATCTACTACCTGTGTTGCCATATTATCAATACCTATATTTTTTAACTCAAAAATAAAAAATAAATAAAAATTTTCAACATTTTCCTTTTTGAAATATACCAGCCCTAAAAATTACCTCACCCGGTACATACGTTCTAATTTTGGCTATAAATATTAAACTTTATTCCAAACTAACATCATCAAATAGAAAAAAACTAGTCAGAATTTTGGCTATGCTTAATAAATTTTTATAGATTTTACTTCGGTGTGCTAAAAGAAGTGAACGCACAAAAAACGTTCATCAAAAAAATGACTATATACGCACAAAATCGATCACATTTCGTAGAATAGTGTTGAAACGTGTAAAGCCGTTATATTCATACATGTAAAATCAAAAGTGTTTTGTTAAAAAATTAGGAAGAAAAATGAGTGAAAGTGATTCTGGAAAAGACAGTCCCTGTCTGGAGTTCAGGTTACATAATTTTGATAGTTTTATTTGGTTTCAGATAAGTTGTTAAGTCCAAGTATTTTTTCTTTTGGAATTTCATAATGTTGAACACATTTTTTTGTTTAAATTAATTTATAATACTTTAAAACAAAGTAAGTAAAACAAAATTTCAAGTTTTTTTCGTAAAGGAGTGAAAATTTCAACTGTCTAGCTATAACGGTTCATAAGATAGACCTTTGTGACAGACGGACGGATAGCGAAGTCTTAGTAATAGGTTTTTACCCTTTGGGTACGGAACCCTAAAATTAACGATAATCGAAAAAAATGTTAAATGTTTGTGGCAAGTTTATTTTGCTCTTAAAAATTAGCCAAGGCATTTGTTGACATGAGTCAAAAAATAAAATATTCAGGAGACATGGTTCTGACCGAAAATAATATGTTTGTTCCAACCGGACGAGAGAACCGTCCTAGAACGGTAATTTCCTATCAGTCAATTCATTTGTTAATCTTGACAAACGATCAAACTTTTCAAACAATAAGTGGGCGAATAGAAATTACCGTCCCAGGATCGGTTCTCGGTCCGGTTGGAACGAACCTGATGTTTTAGAAAAATTTGCTCATGAAATTATTGTACAGGGTGTTTTAAAGATACAGTAAAAAACAATTCTTCGATTAACCCTATATAATAAGTCAAATACTAAAATTTATAATAAATTGAGTTTACGAATTTAAAGTTGATACATTTATATACAGTTTGTTAAAAAAATCAAGGAAATAGGGCTAAAAATAAAAATATATACAGGGTGTCCCAGAAATAAGTGCAAGTATTTTAAGGGGTGGTAGATCTCGATAAAAGAAACATATATTTTCTTTGTCGTTTTCCAAATAAGTCAAAAATAACGGAGTTATTCTGCATTGAAAATTTCAAAGATAATATATAGTTTTTGCTGAAATGTTGAGAGCCACTGGATCTTTTCTGGATTTTCTTTCTTGTAAATTTAATCTACTACCTATGTTGCCATATTGTCAAGAAATTATGTTTTTCAACTAAAAACTAAAAAAAAAATTCAATTTTTTTTTCAAAATATCCCGAATTTTCAAAAATTTTGTTTTTCGCGGAAAAAACCTCATAGGCGTGTTTCTGGGGTTGAACTATACTCCCAATTAAAATACTTGCACTTATTTCTGGGACACCCTGTATACAGGGTGGTCCGAACTGTTTTCCGGAAACTTCGGCAACATATTCTGCAGATAAAAATAAGTAAATCATTTCGTATAAATGTATGCCCGAAAATGCTTAGTTTTGGAGATACAGGTTGTAGAAGTTTCATTTTTAATTCGATTTTTTCGAATAATTTCTAAAGTAACGTCAATATTTGGATGAAAATTGGTGTCTGGAAGTTCTTGATATGATAAATTTGATTTTGATGTCATCATGACTCTAATTTGTAGGGGGCGCCACTTACATGTATTTGAACTGTTATGGAGAGTGATAACTTTTCGTCCGTACCTGTATAAAACTACTAAGTGAAAAAATATACATTTCGTGATTTTTTATGTAAAAAACGTCTCTTGATAAAAATCGCTACGAGCAACCGTTCTAAAGATATTTAGAATGGAAATAGTCAATACATGTCATTATTGACTAAAAATAAACATGTTGAGTAGATATAGTTATTTGACTGAAGTGGTATATTTGGGAACTTTTTATTTTCCTTCGAAAAAATGATGATAAAACAGTTTCTGTTGAACTTTTGGTACAAAAACATTTCAAATTTATGATTTCAGCGTAATAACTATTTAGTCAACATGTTTAATTTATGTCAAAGATGACGGGTATTGATAATTTCGATTCTAAATATCTCGAGAACTCTTAGCGATTTTTACCAAGAGACTTTTTTGCGTAAAAAACGTTGTAAATTTATGGTACTCGGTAGTTTTATACAGGTACAGACAAAAAGTTATTACACTTCAACCGAGTTAAAAAATATGTAGGTGGCCTACTCTTCAAGTAGGAGTCATATTGACATCAAAATCAAATTTCTCATGTCAAAAAACTCCCAGGCACCAATTTTCATCCAAATAATGACCTTACTTCAAAAATTATTTGGAAAAAATCGAAATAAAAATGAAACTTCTACACCCTGTATCTCAAAAACTAAGCATTTTAGGACATACATTTATACGAACTTTTTTACTTATTTTTATCTGCAGAATATGCTGCCGAAGTTTCCGAAATACAGTTCGGGCCACCCTGTATATAACATTTTAAACTTGACCAAAAATTTCTCTGTTGCCTTTTTTTGCATTTGAGTCTATAAAAACGATAAATATCAAATAAAACTTGAGGAATCAGCAAATTGAAGCCAGAAAATAGCCAAAGAAATAAAAGAAAAACAATAATCAGTTGACACCCGGTCTTATTACGCAGGTCAGTCTGTGCTTGATGGAACACATTTTTTTTAGTGCGCCTAAGTGTAACCAAGAACAGTTTTCTGCTATGTTGGAACAAACTTATTGTACGCAACCTTAAAAATACTATTTAAAGCAATGTTTTACTTTACTAGCAGACCAAAACCCACTTTCTTCCATCCAAAGATATTGGACAATGACAGAAATACCGCACTTCACTACGCAGCAGCCAGGGGAGATGACGAATCGGTGGTTGAATACCTGGAGAAAAACTCTACAACTGTCGACCCAGAAAATTACCTGGGATGGACTCCGCTAATGATGGCCTGCAGAAGGGGACATCTATCCACCGTCAAAATTCTTCTTGATTACAGAGCCAACGCAACTTTATATAATAAATATGGTAAACGTTGTTTTGTTTAAGTATCCATTTAGACTAGTTTTATATTAATTTTTATATACCGGGTGCGTCTCAAAAATGGTTCATCCCTATAACTTTTTTATTTTTTTTTAGATAAAAAACCAGATTTGGTATGTGGTATGTTGGTAAAAATTATTACAACTTGTAATTTTTAAACGGCACCTTTGGTATTTTTGTACTTTATTCGAGAGAAAATGACACTCTGAATAGAATGACATAACATATGTCAACTTTTGACATTCTCGTTTAAAAAAATTATATTTTAAATTTCAATCTAAAATGGCTCTGCTATAAACACTAATTTTTAATAAAGCAGCCTTGGAAAAATAGATTTTATCGTCTAATGTTTTTAGTATCTTATCCTGGCCGGTTAAAAGATGCCCAAATCGTATTTGTAATCATGTCTCAATTTTTTCAAATGGAACAATGCGGTGGCTCAATACCATATTTGAAAAAAGCATTTTTTTAAGAATAATTTGGCACCACACGCTTGGTATTTCGAGTCAAATGGTCGTTATGAACTGCATGTTACAATTTCAAATAAACCATATGTAAAAATGTCAAAAGTTGACATATGACATGTTCAGAGTGTCATTTTCTATCGAATAAAGTAGAAATATACCGAGGAGGCCATTTAAAAATCAAAAGTTGTACTAATTTCCGATGAAACAGGAAGTGAAAATAAAAAATAGGATGTTCCATTTAAAAAAACATTATGTTATATCCGCCACGCTGTTTTAAAGCACCCTGTATACTCTGCAATAATTTTAAAATGTGCACATTAACCTTCCCTATAACTTTTCTGTTTAACATTTTTTGTACATCTCCAAACAAATCAGATAATGGACTTTACTCTATCGTACCCTATCGTACAGATTTATTTTTATTGGAGATATTTGCTTTTGGAGCGGACAGTTAATTTACTGCAATATAAGAGCATTAAAAGTAGGCCTTTTACAGGGTGAGTCTTAAATAAGTGCAAATATTTTTAGGGGTAGTATAATTCGACTTCAGAAACACGATTATGAGTTTTTTTTCGCGAAAAAAATTTTTAGAAAATTTGGAATTTTTTTTAGTTAAAAAACATAATTTCTTGATAATATGGCAACATAGGGAATAGATTAAATTTACAAGAAGTAGATTAAATTTAGAAGAAATAAAACCCAGAAAAAACCACTGGATGGATCTTTTCTTTCTCAAAATTTAAGCAAAAATTTTTTTTTGGAAATTTTGAAAGTAAAATAACTCGTTTATTTTGGACATATTTGAAAAATGGCAAAGAGAAAATGTGTTTGTTTTATCGAGATCTACCAGCCCTGAAAATATTTACACTTATTTAATACAATATAATAAGTCTTTTATAATCCTACTAATCTTGTGCTCCCTTAGGTACTACCGTATTATCGAAAAAAAATGGCGTCCGGTTGGCTTGGAAGTGAACATCGATGACATTCCCCATATAATTTTACATATAAAATGACAGCGATCTTCATTTCATAGTCATCGCTGACACCGTTTTTTTTATCATACGGTATAATATATGGTTAGCGAAATGCGATTCTAGTGTTAAAAGTAATGTATAAATTTTAAATATTTTTATTGTCTCTCTTTATTCAGACATGAACGTGCTACATCTCTGCATAGCCAGTGGAAATTTGAAACTTGTCGAGTTGATGCTGGAACATCTTCTAACTGGAGGAATATCTAGAAGAATTTTGGAACGAAATTTTTCAACGATTTCATTGGCAATATTATTTCAGCATCATAGCATTTTAGAATTTTTAATGAAGAAAGAATTTGTGATCGATCTTCCCACAGAAATTACAAGTAAGGAAAATACTGTTCGTAATAAAAAAATTAAAACAGTGTGAACAAAATTATTTAAATTATTACAAATATACAGGGTGTCCCAGAAATAAAAGAATAAAATAAGTATTTTAACTGATAGTATAGTTCAACCCCAGAAACACGCATGAGGTTTTTTCGCGAATTGAAAATTCGGAATTTTTGAAAATTTTTTTGGAAATTATTTTAGTTTTTATTTTAAAAAAATAATTTCTTGATAATATGGCAACATAGGTAGTAAATTAAATTGACAAGAAAGATAATCCAGAAAAGATCGAGTGGTTCTGAAAATTTTAGCAAAAAATATTTTTTTTTGGAAATTAAAAATTTTTTTTTTCAAGTAAAACGTGAAAAACGTTAAAGAGAAAATATGTTTCTTTTATCGAGAGCTACCACCCCTTAAAATACTTGCACTTATTTCTAGGACACCCTGTATAGTGCTTCTAGCATAATTATTGCTCGAATAGATCGAATAGACTTTTCCTTTTACAAATATTATGTCGAGAAGTGACCATTTTCATATTTTTTATCATATATTTTATAATTTTGTACTACCTACAGTTTTACGATAATCCACCTATAATAAAAACATATTTGCGAACACTGGACACTATACAGGATGAGTCATAAATAAATACAAATGTTTTTGGTGGTAGCAGATCTCGATAAAAGAAACATATTTTCTCTCTACCGTTTTTGAAATAAGTTGCTTAAATTTTTAGAACCACTGGATCTTTTCTGAGTTTTCTTTCATGTAAATTTAATCTACTAGCATTAAGAAATTATGTTTTTTTAACTAAAAAGAAATCTAAAATTTTTTTCAAAAAATTCCAATTTTCCAAAAAAAAATTTCGTTAAGAAAAATCAATCCTGTTACTAGAGTCGGAATTAATATATACTACCCCTAAAAATATTTGCACTTATTTAAGACTCATCCTGTATAAGAATCATAACAATAATTATTATTAGTTTACAACCAAAGGTTGCAAAGGTCGTATTAAAATTTGATTCAATTTTTAGAGATTACGCCGCTGATGTTCGCTCAAGCAATAGACAACTCGCCCGCAATCTCCCTCCTCCTCCAGAACAAGGCGGACACAAAAACCAAGAACTACCTAGGCCACACAGCCGTTGACATCGCAATTATTCGACAACAGTTAAAGTTCATCAATCCCGACCACAAATTTGTGATGAGCGCTGCGCAAATCGAACAACAGCAACAACAACAGAGCAGACAGCAGCAACAGACCGAAACTCAAAACCAGAACCTCAAAGACATGTTGCAAGGAAAGGGATTGAAGAAGCAGGTCATGTTACAACCCTCGGCTTCGGTAAATCAAGTGCCTGTTATTATGCTTACTCCTGAAATGTTTAATAGCCCGATGACATACGTAGCCTCACCGAATTTACCTATGGCAATGAGGAAGTCTTCGAACGTAAGTCCTATGGACGTACCTCCACCTCCTCCTGTCACTCCGATAACTCCGATGACGTTTGCTTTTCCAACAAGACAGGTATTTTTTCCACCTGAGTTTTCGCCATGCGGAATAGCCTACCAAGGATCGTCTGTGGACGTTTTTAATAATGATTTGTTAAATTCTAGAATTAATTCTTCGACGGGAATGATTTACTCGCCGACGGTTTTCAGTTTTTTGTCACCAAGAATGTAATTTTCGATATTTTATTTTGTTAACTTTTGATGAGAATGTGAACCTATGTTTATGTATTTGTTGCTTTTATATTGTTTATTGTAATTATGCTGACTATTTTTTCTCTGATAAATATATTATCCTTTATTATGACAATTATAAATTTCTTAACATTTTATTATATGTGTTTTTTTGTGTTGAAAAATTAACGAATGTAGCCTGATCTATTATTTTACCTATACCAATATGAAGGTTCTTGAACGTGAATGGTGAATCCTATAGACATATCAGGGGTTCAGAAGTGAACTGGATCAAGTCCTAGAAGATAATTATGGAGAAAATGGGAGTTACAGTTTTTTAATGTTACTTAATTAAAATAAAACAAGCTAGAGAAGAAGACTTGACACAAAATGCTTTAATTTATTACAGTTATATTTTAAATTGTATAATTGCAAACTAAAATAACTCAAAATACAACTGTGGTCATTTTTAAGAATGTTTGTTTATACTTTTTAGAGACACTTTTGAGACATAGCCGGTATACTATATACCTATAGCAAAATGAATAAGGTTCTTGAACATGAATGGTGAATCCTATAGACATAAATATATGTTTGTTCCAACCAGACGAGATATCGAGATGAACCGTCCTAGAACATACATACATACATACATACAGCCGTTACTCGCTGACGAGTATTCGACACACATAAAGAAAATGGTCACGCAAGGCGTTTTCTTTCATGAGCTTTTCTGTGACTGAAAAGCCCGATACGTGATGTTATCTGCCTACCGCACTCCGGACATTCAAAAATCTCATTGCTTTGTTGCCTCTTCACAAACGATCAAATTTATAACAATAAGTGGGCAACTATAATAGAAATTACCGTCCCAGGATCGGTTTTCGGTCCGGTTGGAAAGAACCTTATATCTCCTTCTCTAAATTCTTTACAATCTCTCTAAATTCTTTACAATCAAAACACATCACAAGTCCGTTATTTTTTTAAATATACCGTATGATCAAAAAAAAATGGTGTCCAGATAGCTTGGAAATGACGATCGATGACATTTCTCATATAATTTTACATATGACAGCGATCTTCGTTTCATATAGCCATCGCTGACGCCGTTTTTTTGCGATCATACGGTATAATTATTTTTAAAAAATAAATTAAAAGTATTTTTGCATAATATCACAGAATTTTTGACCATGATATTTTTTTAATAGAAAGTTTATATAAATACATTATTGGTGTCCAAAAATTACCAGAAAGATAAAAGCTTTTAAAAGCTTTTACAATTATTATAAAATACTATGTTGAAGCCTGGCGCATCCGCCACGACATCAAGAAAAAAAGTACTTTTTATTTTTATTTTTAATTAAACGAAAAACAAAAAATCAGGCGACGAGTTATTAGAAGAGCCAATTAGCTATCTTTTAGTAAAAAAAGCAACTTTCTAGAGCAAATCGTTACTTCAGTAGAGACGGCACAGATAAACATTATCATTTTACATATGTAGATAGGCAAAATACCTGTGAAAATATACCGTATAATCCAATAAAACGGCGTCCAGTTGGCTTGGAAATGAATATCGATGACACTCCTCATATAATTTATATGAGATATAATTATAATTTTACATATTATAAAATGACAGCAATATTTATTTCATAGCCATCGCTGACGCCGTTTTTTTTCGATCATATTGTACATGAAAAGTGGTGATTTTTCACAAGAATTTGTTGGCATGGAATTTTGTGAAGTAAGGAATATGAATAAGGTTTTTTCTGGGTTTTTTAAGGTTCCCTTGAAGAAATTCGGCTAGAAAATGTATGGCAACCGGCAACACTGAGATAAAGTAAAAAAGCGGTTTATGATGGTAATTTAAAATTAATATGTTTATTTTTTATGTACAAAAACATTTTAAGAAATGCAAAGATGTCGGAACATGGATCAGCTTTGCAAACTTATAATCAAGAATTAGTTAAATGTGAGTTAATTGATTGTCTTTCCTACTAATAAAATAATTGGTGATATTCCCATTAAGCAAAATTTTATTTTAGGCCTCGAACACTTAAAGTTAGAAAGAAATGAGTTAGTAGAAGTAATTCGTCGAGAAGAGGCAGAAAAAATGGTTCTAGAAAAAAATATTCGCATTTTAGAAGACAAACTTTGTAACCTCCAAGACAGATTGCAGCATCATAAAAAAATGTGTGATAATTATGATAAAACAATTAGTGAGACAGACATGGGATATAAGAAGGTACATATAAAATGTAAAATAGCAATTTACCTATTGGGTGTTTGATTTGTTTCGCTTATAGATATTAGAAAGTAGTCTAGCCCTTTTACGATCGGCACAAAATGAAACTAGTAAATTAGTAACAGGGTACGATACTGTCACTGGTTTTCTACAGCACGTAAAAGAAGATTATTAATTTTTTACAGTATTTGTAATTTTAAGTATTTTATTTTTAAGTATTCGCTATAAGTACAATTAATTATTCATAACTATTTTTAAAAATGATACCTACTTTAAATTGGACGGCTTTTTATTAAATTAAAATTAAACATAATGAGAATATTTATTTAATAAAAGGTTTACAAGGTTGTTTATAAATATATCACAAGAGTGTTTAATATAACAAAAACTTTTGTTAATATTCGAGAGAATGTCATACTAAATAAAATATTCAAGCATTTCCTAATATCTTTTGTTCGTTCCACACTTTAAGAAGTTCTTGTGGATCATTATAACCATGTGAAGCAATTGTATACTGATAGTTCACTCTATAATATGGATTTTTATAAAAATGAAAATCATCTGAATGAAATGGTTCAATATCAACTTTATAAGCTAAAATTGCAACATAAATGTCATCAAATCTAAAATGTTTAGTATAAAAACTGGCATAATACATATCTCTCAGAGCCGAATTAGATAAAATGATTGCTCCACCCGATATATAAGGAGGCCATTTATGGTATGGATATTCGCTCAATGGTACATACCTAAAAAACAACAAAAATATTGTTTACCATTATAATATGCATTTCTGAAAACTTACCATTTACTGAAATAATGCCTAAAAGGGACAGAATGAAAACCATAGCCAGCATATAATCTAACGTCATTATCTAACTCAAAATCTAGCAAATCTAATGCTTTTCTTTGGCCTAAATGTGCTTGTATATTTGCAAAGGGTTCTTTCAGATACTCTGGATATTTGGTTGGAAATTTTATGAATCTCAACACATTTTTAGTTGATACATAATAATCATCATCAACAAACATGTAGAATTTAGCTTTTTCACAATATTTAAAAGCCCAATACAGACCAGACATTAACTTATAAGTATTATTGAAATATACATCTGTAAAATTTGCCTGAACTATATCATTAAATTTATGAGATTCTTCTGTAATAAATTTTTGTAAGTGAACATCTTTTATGTTGCCAATAAGAAACACAGTACGGATTCCAACATCAGAAAATCTTCTCTCGAACCCCCAGGAACTTCTTATAGCCAGTCTCTGTTGGAAATTACTTGCAGCTGATTTAACAATGTATATCAGTCGTAGGTCTGTAATATCTTTACATTTTCTATCACAGTTCTTATAATAAATAAAATTATATTCATTAATTGGTGGAACACTGGGAGTTTCATTATGTCTTAATTGGTTAATTAATGGTTCAATATCCCCGTCATAGGGGTAATGAAACCCAGAATAAAAATCAATTTCAAATGCATGATGAAAAACCCCAAAAATTGACAGTACACTAAAACACAAAACAAAGCCAAAAACTATGTATAACTTCTTCAATTTAGATCGACGCCTTAGACACATGGCTTCATATTTTAGACTTAATTAAATAAGCTGTCTGCCCTGCAGTTATATGTATTCAAAAATAGATAAGATGGGAATACATATAAACTAAATTACACAAGATGCATTTATGAATATAATACATTTATATGAGTAAATTATAACCATTTCTATTTTTGAATGTTTTCATGATCCTTTTCTCAAAATCATATCTATGAATTAAATTTTAATCCTTTTGACAAAACCAAAAAGGGAAAAATACAAATTTTTAGTTTTTATAGAAAAAAAAACTAAAACTAGGTTAATGATAATGACAAATGACACAAATGCATACAGATGTCAAGATATAACCACAGAATAATTAAAATATAAAATAGGTATAGATTCATATTTGCTAAAGATTATGTAATCCATATCATGAAGATGGCAACAAAATCAGGGCTGCGTAGTTACATCCTTGTGGATCTACCCGTTGGCTTATTCACATTTTGGCCTGAATAAAAAGATTGTATTTGTCTATAAAAGCTGCCTGTACACAAATAAACATTAATTAATAAGTTTTTCATTTTAAATTTAAGGATTTTAACTAGGTATTTGGCGGTTTGCTGACAATAACTGTTGGCGACATTGCCTGTCAATATTACTTAATCTGTACTAATCTCCATAATCTTAACCACATCTTAACCTTAATTTTTGACAGCTCATAAGCGGTTTTTGCTTGTGATTTGTTGCTTTAAGTAAGTTCATTTTAAGTTCTCACACTTTTTCGATAGTCTTGTGGTCTTATTTCTTCAATATATTTATCTATTTAAGTTTGATTGGGTGGATTGATTACAAACATAATGGCACCTAAAAGAAAAAATATAGAATCCCATTTAAATGAAGTTGCCAAACCAAAAAGAACCAAATTTACACTAGATCAAACAAAATTTCCAAGAAACACTATCAAAGGTGTAATTTTAGTAACAGGGGCAGGTGATGTAGGACAGTTGGGCTTAGGTCCTGACGTCTTAGAAAAATCAAGACCTGCACTAGTTAACCTGACTTCTGAAATCACAGATATATGTGCTGGAGGAATGCATACTGCATGTTTGACAAAAGATGGAAAGGTTTTGACTTTTGGATGTAATGACGAAGGTGCACTGGGTAGAATTACCGATGGACAAGAAGATGCAGAGTTTATACCTGGTGAAGTAGCACTACCAGGAAAAGTTGTTCAAATTTCTACAGGAGACTCCCATACTGTCGCCTTGTTAGATGATGGGCGAGTATTTGCTTGGGGCACTTTCAGAGATTCTCATGGTAATATGGGTATGACGGTAAATGGCAACGAACCATTACCATATGAGATAATAAAAAATCAGCACATAGTTAAAATAGCATCTGGTGCTGATCATATCGTATTTTTGACCATTCAAGGTGAAGTGTGGACATGTGGATGCGCAGAGCAGGGTCAGCTAGGGCGCACTTCTGTTAGAGGTAGCAGTCGAAATGCTAGGAATGGTATTGATAAAGGAAACATAGCAAAGTTAGTTAAACCAGCTCCTATAAATGTAAAACTCAGCTTAAAACTTCATTTTGACAACATATGGGCAGGAATATATTGTACGTTTGTAAAAGTTGCTGATGGCAATGATATTTATGTATTTGGCTTAAATAATTTTAATCAAATTGGTTTGGATATACAAGCACCAGAATTTTTTCCAAAGAAATCATTGGAGTTTTCTAAATATACATGGCAAGTTATTTCCAGTGGTCAACATCATACTATAGGCTTGACTAACGCTGGTAAAGTTTTTACATTAGGGAGAAAGGAATATGGGCGTCTCGGATTAGGGAAAGATTGTGAAGATGCAAAGGTGTTAACAGAAGTAAAAGGTTTATCAGACAAGAAGGTCACAAATATTGCATGTGGATCTTGTACTTCCTTTGCCGTTACAGAGGAAGGTCAGTTGTTTGGTTGGGGCATGGGTTCAAATGGCCAACTTGGTCTTGGAGAAGAAGAAGACTGTTTTGAACCTACTCTCATTCAAAGCAAACAATTAAAAGATAGGAAAGTGATTAGAGTGTCTAGTGGTGGGCAGCACACAGTGATTCTTTGTGAGTCTGACAGTAACAACAAAAACGGACTAACAAATGGGAAATAATGGCTTTTCCAGTTCTAGTTTAAGCTGACAATGCAGTACAATACTATCATTTTCATGTAAGAGTAGTATGTATTCTCATAAGTAGGTATATAAAAGGATGGTTTATTTAATTTACTTAAATTTTACAAGCTTTATAACAAGGAACGCACAGAATATAATTGTTTTTATGTTCATCATTTTGTTTCTTCTAAACCATTACGGTATGTAAGGCCACTATTACACTATCAAATTTCTTTGTCAAAGATCTTTTATAAAAGATATTGATGAAAAATTTGACAATGTTAATATATAATACTTTATAAAATCACACATATTACACTGTCAAATTATTCATAAAATATCTCTTAAATAAAATCTTTGACAAAGAAATTTGATAGTGTACTAGTAGCCTAACCAATTTACTAAGATACTTTCTTATTGTAATAGTATAATTAATTGTAATAGGTACAATTAATAGAAAATTAATTAAAATTATTTGATTATTGCATATTTCTGTTGATCTTTTAAATGCTGCTAAAGTGTATTTACTAAAATATAGTGGTACAGCAGGAGAGTTAAATAAAGTTTGAAGTAGATTAAATAATAAAATATTAATGAATCTTAAAATCAAAATATTCTTCATACAAACCATCATTTTAGGTGCATCGTTACAAAACACATTTGTATCAATTTTGTCTAGACACATTTTTCTGGTTACCAGATATAATGTCCATATTTGTGAAATGTCAAAGTTTATATATATTAAAAAATGAAAATGTTATCCAAGAATTACTTTATTATCATTACCACCTTAAAATGTGCGCTTATATGTAAATAACAGAAATAAATCAATTTGTTTTTGTTGATATTTTTGTTGGACTTTAATACCTGCAATGGTAAATATTGTACATTCTTGGATAATTATGTGAGAAGTAAAATTAGATTTGAAATATTTTTATATTGGCTAATTCTTTATAAAAAAAATTACCTGTTATATCTGATGTAAAGTATGTCCAACAAGTCAGGGAAGATTTCGATAGACAACAGGAAATATATGTATGTGTGCATTAAAATGACAAATGCAACTATCACATAATGTTCTTGTTGGACAGACTATATAGTAACATATTTTTTCAAGTAAATTTGATATATTAATAACTTCTTAATCATTACATATTTTTTAGATTTTAATCGTTAAATGTTTAATATCACTCACTGTCATCTCCTTTGTATTGTATTTAGTATTAATTTTATTAGACGTAACTTTATGAAGTCTGTTATGAACTGAGTTATGTGGTACCTTACTTGTTATTTGAGATTTGTAATTTCCTGCTAAGCTATATTATTGGATTTGAAAATAAAAGTTAATTAACATTTTAACTTTTTTTTATATAGGTACATACCTATTTACCCTTTGATCAGAGAATAGCCTTTGATACTGTGTTTGATACATACCGTACACGGATACCGTATGATCGAAAAAAAAACGGCGTCAGCGATGGCTATATAATTTTTCTTCGTATTTTTTTAAATGAAACACCCAGTATATTATTTTTTCGGTAATGGTGTGGATATTATTTCATTTGCGTATGCGCTGCAGAGTTCTAGGACGGTTCAGAATCGGTAATAACAAGGATCCGAAAAAAGCTCTTGTCAAAAGGCCGGAGAGTCCTAGCAGTCTAGGCCTTTAAAATAAAAAGACGACTATTCTTTTTTTTTTTTTTGCAATACCCCCCCCCCAAAGAAAGGCCAAAGGTAGGTTATTTTCTATAGCCAAAGATTTTAGTTTTGTAAAAAATGTTTCCAGTGTTAATTTATTTAAGAAGGCTACATAAAATTAGATATTCGGAGATAAAAAAGACGCGTAACTTATTTCACTCCGTTTATAGAAATGTGTGGTTGTCTCATTCAACAGCATGTAACTCAAAAACTTCTTTATGTATAAATGATGTTAGCTTAGATGAGTACATTTCACGAATTCAACAAGAGTATGTTGAGATATCAAAAAGCGACAGTTATCTTACAGCATCCAGATATCACGAACTGAAACCAATAATTACTATACTTGAAGAGAGACATACAGTGTTAGGTAATATTTCAAGTTTAAGAGAACTTATAGAGTCAGGTGATCAAGATGTTTCTAACATGGCAAAAGACGAAAAAAGGCAACTTGGAGATAAATTAGAAGAATTGGAAAATAATTTAATTGAAGCAATCTTACCACATAACAAGGAAGATCTGTTTGATTCAATTTTGTTGGAAGTTCAAGCTGGTGTCGGTGGACAAGAAGCTATGCTTTTTGCACAAGAAATGTATGATATGTATTTGGGATTTATTGAATATAAGGGTTGGCACTATGAAATCATAGATTATTTGAAAACTGATATAGGAGGTCTACGTCATGCTTCAGTTTTGGTCGATGGCCCTATGGCTTTTCAATATTTCAAATATGAGGCTGGTGTTCATAGAGTACAACGTATACCAGCCACAGAAAAAGCTGGGAGAGTTCATACCAGCACTGTATCTGTAGTAGCTCTACCCCAACCGAGCGAAATAGATATTACTATAGAACAGAAAGATTTAAGAATTGAAACAAAAAGGTAATATCAGAATACTTTTAAAAGAGATTAGGCACTCTGTATTTCTAGATCATCAGGTGCAGGTGGTCAACATGTTAACACAACAGATAGTGCAGTAAGAATTACTCATTTGCCAACAAACCTTGTGGTAGAATGTCAAGTAGATCGCTCGCAAATAAAGAATAGGAAACTTGCAATGGCAAAGTTGAGAGTACTTCTTTACCAAAAAGAACTGGATGAACAATTGGCTCAAACCGAAGCAACGAGAAAAAGTCAAGTTAGATCAAGTAATCGTAATGAAAAAATCCGTACCTATAATTACAGTCAGGTTTGGGAGAAGTTTTTGATATGTAATTATTTAATAATACCTGCATTACTTTTTAGGATAGAATAACAGATCACAGATTAGAAGGAGTCCATTTTCATAATTTAAAAGTTTTTTTGCAAGGTGGTAATGATTTAGAAGATATGATTCAACAAGTAAATAGACAGTCAAAAATAGATAGTTTATTAAAATTAATTAGAAATAGATAATCGAGTTATTTAAGAATTAGGCAAAAAATTATAAACTAACATTAACTAATAATTATTAAAGAAAAACAAAGACATACATGATTTGATTTTTATTAACTTATAAATATATTTACAACTTAACATAAATATAGCACACCTATATGTATAATTATTGCTTATAAAAATAAATTTTAAAACTAAATTGTCATCAAATCTTACATTTTATATTTGTCAAAAATGTGTTATTGTCTCTCGAAAGATCATAACAAATTGCATACTTGTATGCATATTGGTCCTAAAGATCGATCAACAAATATATAGGATACATAATTGACAAAATTAACTTTTCATTATTTGAGATATACAAATTTGTATCTTACATAAACAAAGATCAAATTTTCCTAAAATATCACAATTCATGCTATGTGTATAGTCTGAAACCTTAACTTCCATTGTTGTTATGAAGGAGGTAACTAAAATAAAAAGTACTGAACAATTTTTTCAAGTCAAACCGTAATTTACCATACCTCGGCTCCAATTTTATTTAAATATCTATTTCTATATCGCATATCTTCAGCATTAATTGACTCTGAGGCATTTAAACTCCCTTCTAAAGAGCTGATTTCGCTCACTGACTGGGCTTCTTCTGCAGCAAGAAGTCTTTGTCTTTCGATTAACTGAGCCCTTTTAAAATAATTGATAAAAATTAATTAAATGGTAAGAAATTCAATTTACATTAATATTCCTAAAATACTTAAGATAATTTTTTGGAAACGTCGAAAATAATTAGAATTATATGACTTGTAATTATCTCAATCATTTTAACAAATTAATAAAAATGTAATTGTAGAGCGAATTTATACTGATATAAAGGACCACTTGAGATTTTTTTTTAAATAGGGATAATCATATATTAAACATATTTGATGGCTTTTTGCCATTGTTGAAGAAGAATAAAACACAGAAAATAAATAATTTTTATTTTGGCTTATATTAGCGTCGCCTTTTGTTCATATTAATTTAATATCTCCATCTATCCTTCAGTCAGATTTGACAGTAGGTTCTTCATGAGCATGTGCTACTATAGCGCTGTAAACGAATTTAATGCACATTCAGTTAGTTGATGAATTATTGAAAGAAGACACCACACAAATATATTTTTAGGAAATTATATCCATGCACAAAACATATAACATAAATTAAACAACTATTTGGGATAGCCAATTTAACCTTGGACGCCAAATTTTTTTATACAGGGTAGCCCGAATTGTATTCGGGAACCTTCGGCAGCATATACTGCAGATGAAAATAAGTAAAAAAGTTCAGTTTTATACAGGTAACGACGAAAAGTTATTACTTCTCAAAACAGTGAAAAAATATGCAGGTGGGGTCCCTTACAAGTAGGAGTCATACTGGCATCGAAATCGAATTTTTCATGTCAAAAAACGCTCAGACACCTATTTTTATCGAAATATGGAAGTTAGTTCAGAAATTACTTGAAAAAAAAAGAAATAAAACTTCTCCACCCTGTATCTCTTAAACGAAACATTTTAAGACATGATTTTATACGAACTTTTTTACTTATTTTTATCTGCAGAATATGATGCCGAAGTTTCCCGATTACTATTTGGACCATCCTGTATCCCTATAACAAATATGACAAATACACATATGCAACGAACATTGGAAACCACATAAAATATTAATTATTGTTCACCAGTCAATATAACACAGCCACAAATATATAAAATATAAATAAAAATAAATAATCAATACAACTACTGACGACATAATGAAAAACGGATAATTATTTTATAAATAAATTAAGTATTAATATTGACCCTAAACTTGCCGCAGTCAAGAACTAATTGGCTAAGAACGTCTTTACTTTGTTTCTAATTTTATTATCAAATTATCTTGAAATTTGCTTCCAATCTAATTAATTGTAGTGTATCATTTCGAAATTTTAATAGACAGATTCAAACACAGATAAACTTATTACCTGAACAATAAAACATGCTGTTGCAAAATTATACTTAGAAGTAATTGAGGTATAACAACCTACTTAAGAGAAAAAAATCGTTAATGATGTAGCAACTGACAGAAAATTGTCTATCATCGTAAAATTATCTATCATCGTAAAATCATTAAATTAATTTAGCAGCAAAATAATTTAAAATTAAATTTCTGTTTGAAAATAAGGATATTTATTATGTTTTGTTTCTTTTTTTATATAACTAGATTAGAATCGAAACAGAAAGTATATTAGAACTGTACAGGGTGGACCATTTTGGTTGTTTCTATAGGGTATCTAGGAAACCGTGAGAAATACTCAAATTTTGATACTGCAGTCTCGGGTTCTTTTTTTGAAAAAATTACAATGGCGCAAACGGATCGTGGCTATCTTGATCGGTTTCGAAGCTACAGGGGGATTCTCAAATTTAGTCCTTTTTAAAGATGTTCGATAGTTCGTTTATTTCGGCAACCACGGAAAAATGAATTATACATTCTAAAGGCACTTTTCTGTGTAGAATGCAGTGGCGTAGTCAGACTTTTTTCAAAAAAAAATATTTTTTGAGATATTAACTATACTTTTGTTTTTTTAAATAGAACCCCCTGTATATTTTTAAATTTTCTTATTCAGATTGGCATAAGCTTCTCGAAAATATATCACACTCTATATTTATTTTCACTATTAACCTCAACATTTCAAAATTTTCTTAAAATATCCATTAAGTAGATAGTAGGCCGCGCCGAGTAACAAAATAAACGGTTGTCATGGTGATCGGGACATACCTTTGATGAAAAAAAATTAGTAAATTTGAAAATTTTGAGAAATATGTTAGAATGTTATATTGAATCTAACAAACAGAAGCAAATGGCAGCTGATTTATACTTTGAGCGGTATCCATATATTATAGAACGAATACAGGGTGTGGGGTGTGGATAAAAACTTTGAAACAACAGGGAAAAATACTGTTGGGAGAAAAAAAAAGTTCCTAGGGAATAAATTCAACATACCAGATAACAAAGGAATTAATAAAAAACTGCTCTTAATATACCGGGTGTTTCTTAAAAGTGGCTCACCCCTTTAAATTTTTTATTTTTCCAGATAAGGAAACGATATTTCATACGTTAGTATATGGTCTTCCCATAGACTTAAAATAAAATATAGACTGAGCATCTCATTCATAAATAGCTGGAACATGCGGTCAGACAATATCTTGTTATTGTTGTGTTATTGTTTTAGGTTATAACGAGTGCGACACGAGCGATAGATAGGTTGTCTCTGTCGTAACGGGCGTTCCCATCTCCATTTTTTTTTAATAAATGATAAACTCAGAATATGAAAATAAGGAGGTAGATTATAAATTATTCATTAAAAGTAAACTTAGAAATCATAGAAAGCTAATAAAGTACCTACATATATCTTGAAAATGGGCTAAAGATCTATTGGCAAGTAAATTATTAAACTACTCAAACAACACATAAAATCATCTACAAATTTTTTTGAAACATTTGTGTTTAAATTTAAAACCTAACAGGTTTGAGAAATCTAGAAAAAAGGTAAATATATAAGCTAAATTATAATTCTTACACTCCATAGGCAGTTCCAAGTTGATACTCTGGTATGATTAAAGCTACCAATGGCCACAGTCCGCTTGCTAAGCCGGAGTATGCAATACCTAAAAGAGACTATTTTTTTTCTAAATAAATTGTTAAAAAAGACAACAAATTAAACTTACTACTCCAACAAAAGGATTTACATATGTAAAACCCAACAGAACATGTGATATAACAGTAAGGACTACAGAGACAAGGATCCAAAAAACATTTAAACCAGTTTTATCAATCAATAAGCCTGTAAGAGGTGAACCAACTCCAGATATTAAGTATATTAAGCTGCTTATCCGATCGGCATTCTCGTCGTTCATGTTAAAACGGTCTTTAAAAAACTCTCTGAAAATATTTCCTTATCAGATTTAAGAGTAACTCAATTTTGATTAATGCTATACTCGTTTCTTATACAATCTTAATAAAGAAAGGGTAGTAAATCTCTTAAAAATTTGTTGGAACACGGATAGAAGTTTAATAGAAGTAAATAATCAAAATAGGTAGGTCGTGAACTGTGTCACTTCTTTTTTTCGTTGGGAGAAGGGACAGAAGTTATATATGTATTAAAGATAATTAAAAAGGACTGTGAACTGTTCCACAATTTCTTAAAAATCTGTTGGATGAGGGACAGAAATTGTATTGATAATAGAAGGTGGTTTATTCTTAAAAATCTTAAAATTGATGGGAGAGGGACAGAAGTTGTGTATAAAGATATAAGCCATATCAGCTGCTAAACTATTTAGCAGCATAGATATATAAAGAAATTTCAAATTTCCTACTAATAGATATTGAAAATCTTTAGTACAGTATTGGGGCAAGATTTTTTCAGAAATGTTTAGCATAGAGTCCAGTATCCCCTTTTATATTAAATTTACAATTCTGTCCCTGTTCTAACAGATCTTTAATAAATTTGAACAGTATTCGCAATCCTTTTTAATTAAAGATCTGTTAGAACAGGGACAGAATTGTAAATTTAATATAAAAGTGGATACCGGACTCAAAAAAATCTTGCCCCAATACTGTACTAAAGATTTTTAATATCTATTTATTAGTAGGAAATTTCTTTATATATCTATGCTGCTAAATAGTTTAGCAGCTGATACGGCTTATACAAAATCCTTCCTTCTCTATATGTATATCTTTAGAGATTTTTGGATAAATTTATTTATGTAAAATAGTCAATCTAGATGTACCCAAAATATAGTAATGCTATATTTATACCTATTTTCATAATACTTACTGTCCTACTGTTATAAATGGAAAAATGGCAACATAATAAGTTACACATACTAAGGTAACTAGCCAAAAGGTCAGTTTGAAGTCCTTTACATCTGTTATTTTCACTATTTCACTATTCTGAACTTCAGCCCTTCTTGTTAATCTCTCTGCTCGTTTGTCCATTACACCTAGTATTAATGAACACAACATTGAAAGTAAACATGTTGCTGAAGCTAAAATAAAAATATAAAAGATATTAATAATCCCTTGGCTGTATTGTTGCAGTTATAGACAACCTATAAATAAAGCATATCCTAATACATGTACTATATCGCTAACTCCTTGATTTATCCATTTGTAAATAGGCTCCATAACCCAAAAGTTTACCGTACTTCCCACTCTAGCAAAACTCAACTGTAGACCAAAAACCATGTTTAATTCTTTCCCTTTAAACCATAACACTGCATAATTATTTTGAGCCACAGCTAAAGATTCTGCTCCAATGCTATAAAGGACAAATAGATATATTTAAATAATATATTAATGCATATAAATTATACCCAAAAACAAATCTTCCTATTAACATAAACCATAATTGCTTCCAAAGGGTTCCAAATGCAAACATAATTTGGCCCAAAAATGTCAAGCCCATGAATATGTTTGTTCCAGCTCTTATTCCAAAAATTCTGGAATTGATATAATACTTATAATAAAAAAGTAATAAATTACGCTGTATATTATTAAACCTGTCTAAAAGAAATCCTCCGATAAAACACATTATAACATTTGGCCATGAATAAACAGAGTAAAGAGCTGTATATTCTTTTTCTGTTATATTGAGATCTGATTTAACATGTCCCTGAAGAGCACTTGGATTGTCATAACAAAAATACGATCCTAAAATATGATTTATTTATTTACTAAGTAGACATTAGATATTCATTCCTTTATGTGTTCATGCAAAACTAATATAATTAGGTACTGTTAAGTAACGGTAACAACTGTATACCTAAAATGTGGCATAAAAGAATCCTTATTCACAAGCAATAATATTCTGGGACATCAAGAGTCAATAATATAAGGGTGTAAATAGAAGTTTTCGTATATAAACATTTATTAAATTTGAAAATGGATTTCAAACATAACTTACCAAATCCTAGGAAGCACATGAATACAAGTGCAATAAATCGATGGCCCTTGCCATTTGGATGGCAACATGTAAAGTAACATTTATCACATATTGTTTCATCGTCCCTTACAGATACTTGAATGTTTGGTCCACCCTCCATTGTAAATTAAATCAAATCCAATGACTGTCTCCAAGATACTGAACTTTAATTGGACAATTTACAATAAAATTATCTGATAACCTAGTTTACACAACAAAGGTTATGACTAACACGGTTATGTAGCTTTGATTTAAACATTTAAATATTTAAGATATAAACCACAGCAATAATATAAAAAATGAACTTTAATAATAGAATTGATAATACAAAGCTTTTGTTTTTAATAAATCACTCCTAATGTTTCGAAAACACGTTTGAAAATACAGTGACAAATGACAACCGACACTAGTGACAGTGACATTCCGACTGGTGATTTCCCTTTCTGTCAAATAGGGCTGGGAATTTCATAGGTAGCGATCAAGGGTATCGATAAGCTTTGTAGATTGTCGACAATATACGTAGTTAAAGATGCTGTACTATCCTGTAAACAGTGTAAACGTAGTATTTTAGAAATATAGAATTTTGGGTGGTTTTGATTTACTTACTTTTTCGTTTTCATTTTTTTTATTAAAAATAAGGTTTTTTACACGCCCATCCTTGATATCTACACTTTTATCATTTTCATTGCTAACTTCATTTCATAATTTGTCATTTTCAGCTGATTTCTGTTTTGATCTTGACAATTGTTATTGTTATTATGGAATAGCCAGTTAATGGATATAAAAAGAATTAATTTAAGACCATTTTAAGACTAACTGAAAAATGAACGAACTGGAAGGGAGTTTGTGGTGTTATCTACCATATCCTGCTTTATATAAAATATTCCAGCATCTTACATACAAGGACTTGCTGTCTGCTGGTGAAGTTTGTAAACTTTGGTTCGAAGCAAGTAGAAATGATCTGCTATGGAGAGATTTATTCTACAAAAATTTTTTGGTGGATAGATCAGTTCCAGTCGTTGCAGGTACGAATTTAATATTTTTATTAATTATTGTATAACATAATTTATTTTATCTAGGGAAAAGTTGGTACGAAGAATTTAAACGCCTTTGTTATAAAGTACCAGTTGTTCAGACAGAAACGTTAACAGAACATAGTCATCAAGTGTTACATGTTAGTTTTTCTCATAATGGACGGTATTTTGCTACTTGTTCCAAAGATGGTTACGTGACTGTAAGTAATTATGTAGTCAAGGTTTTATTCACTTTAAACTGCTTTAAACAAAAGAAAATAGTTGGTTAATGATTCTGTTGTATATTCTCAATTTACAAACAAGGATTGTACCAAATTAATACAATGCATTGACAAAACTGTATGATTGTAGGTCTGGCATTCAAATTATCCAGCTACTGTAAAATATAGCAAAAATATGAAACATTTTAAATGGAAATATACTCAGTACTCTCAATTTAATGAAACTGATACTTTGCTTCTTGTATCAGGAGTTCATTTTGGCACAACACATAGTACATCTGGAGAAATTGCAGTTTTTAGTTTAGGTAAAAATACTTAATTTAAAATGCTACTTGGTACTAATGGCAATTCTAAAATTTTTGTTTCTAGATGGCTTTGAGCTTCAATGTAGAGTTGTTAATAAGCCTTACGACATTTTTGGTACCTGGTACAGTGACCAATACCTTTTGTCGGGAGATTTACACTGGTTGGCTCATTTAGTTAGCACATCCCACTTATGGCTAACTAGAGCATCTCAAGAGACAGATTCTGAGCTGGTATATGCATATTTTCTGTTATTTGTTGTTTATTAAATAAAAAAATAATTTTTAGACGCCTATAACACATTGCTTGTTTCGATTTTACAATAGAAATGCAAGTTCTATAAGAGCAATTATGGTAGCCAATTGTTTATCAAATGCAGAAAATGTAAGTTTAGATGAAAATGAATATGCTGGAGTTCCTGTGGACCAGGGGGTTATATTCGAACATGGAAACCCAGTGAGTCATAGAGATATGAACAATGTTCCAACATGCAGCAAATCAGGTAAAATATAAAGATGGATTTTATTACATAGATATTTACAACTAAAATACCATTTTGCAGTTTTTGATGAAATCCCAATTGTAAATGCAATGAGAGCCAACAATGACTTTGCCAATCCAATTTGGTATAACTCAGAGTATCGTAAAGTTGAATTTGAACAAAGCGAACAAGCTTGTGATGATAGTGATTATGAAATGGATCAAGATGATAATAAAGATGAAGGCTTTGATGATGATGACCATTCTACGTCCAGTGATGAAACTGATTCTTTGAATGATAAATATTTGATATTTACTACAGGAAACAAAACATATACCCCTCATCAAATAGGTAGTTTTTTATTATTTTTAGTAATTTTAAGTGTTGGTAACTATAAAACACTTTCCAGGATTTAAGAGGATAAAACCATTTGTATTTCCTAAGAAAATGGATCCAGGTCCATCTCTAAAAGAAAGATTGGTGTTATTGGAGCAGCGTAAGGAACAAAAGAGGTCAGGAAGTCCTCCACAAGATTCTGCCTGGTTTGAGAAATTTGCTGAAAAATTTGATAAACCTGATCATCTTATTGATTTGCATGGACATATTGTTGGAATGGGACTTAGTCCAGACCATAGGCAAGTCAAAACTAAGTAATTTACAGAAGTTTACAAACACTGGCTGTTCAGAGAAAAGTGTAACATTGTAACTTTATTAAGAAATTATTTAATTTATTATTTTTGAAAGATAATGGTTGTTTATATTTTATTTCAATTTGTATGTTTACATGCATTTTTAAGTTTTATTGAATTTCAAAGTCATGTCACAAAGAGGTATAAGAAAAAATAAATATTTTTTAGATATCTATATGTAAACAGTAGATCCTGGCCGGAAAATTATGTCATCACCAATCCCTTAGACCCCCCACCAATAGCTCAAGAAATTGACATTCATGTCATCGATTTGGTGACGTTCAAACAAGTTGGTACAATGCTAAGGGCTCATAAAGCTTATACACCAAACAATGAGTGCTTTTTTATCTTTTTGGATGTGTGCAATGAATATGTAGCCAGGTATGTAACACGTTATTAAAACAGTAAATACTAGGCCATATGAGATATTAAATACAGTATATTCAATAAGACTACCAATATAGTTTTCATAATATTTTAATTTTATGATGAATCACAGATACAACACGTTTTATATGCATGCATTTACATTTGGTGAAAAAAGAGAACATTTTATAGCAGATTTTCTTATACATGGTGTCCAGCAATTCTTAGAAATCAATTTTTAGTAAAGAGTGATTCAAGTATGTGTTATTATAAGTACTATCAGTAAAGCTAGATCGGAGTTAAAATTTAGTTCCATTTATAAACAGTAAAATTAACTAACGTTTTTTACGTTTTTTCAAAGAAGATATTTGAAATTTTTATTTAAATTTACAAAATGCAGGCCATAAACATATTTTTTGAACCTGCTAATTTTATAATAGTAAATTAAGTAGTAAAAATACATTTTCCTTGCATCTGGTTGGATTTTATTTATTTTAAAGAATTATATTATACATATAGCCAATATCAGTTGCACCTCTGGGTTAAAATTGTAAAGAGACCAATATCTCATTTCCTCCATTCGCGTCGCGAACTTCAAGTTCCAGTGCTTTACGCCCTGGGTTACTCGAGAACGGTTCTAAAAGGAGCTGTGCGCGATAGCCTGGTGCCTTCATATGGCGCGGAACAGTTCTGAACTCTGAACTTGAGTTTATGAATGGAGTGAGAGTATCGCGTTCTCGAACAGTTCAGAGCTGCACAACTGCGTGAATGGAGGACAGCAATTATAAACATATTTTTTTCTAACAAAAACCATAAGTGCTTCAAAGAATATTATTATTACCTCTTGCCATCAAAATCAATACAAAATCAATGAAAAATATCATTAAAAATAAGAAGGAGCAATTCACCACATTAGTAGTGGGTTCATACAGCGAAATAATTAAGAAATTAAATGTTCCAATCCATTCCAACTGACTTCAGATAAACTATATTTTGTTCCATTGTCTATGTGTAAGTCCACTGGACTGGTTTGGGGCTGTTATATACCCCGATACTGTCTTAATTATACTGGCATCGTCTCGTCTGTATAAACAAATTAAGTGTCCCAAACGAGTTCAATTATTCCTATTTTACATAAACGTATCTGTCAATGATATACATTATTATATATAACTTTTGCCTGCTTGGGTTACAGGGTCCTGAAACAGTACGTCGGGCGTGGGTCTATGTCCTACTTTACTGAATGAAATGTCATATCGTGTCTCAGAAAAGCAAATACGTTTAAATAATATATTTGAACGTTATTTGCAAAAATGTGAGTGAAAAACGGTGATTTTTTAATGGAATATTCGAGAGGTATTATTACATTATATGGCCGTTTTAACAGTTAGTTTGTATCATAGCCATCTAATGTTTTTTGTTTTATATTTTCCTGAAACATCTCTTACAATTAGTAATATAGAAGTGGGATATACCCAACGCAGTGTTACAGAATCCTGTATATCCTTAACCGAAAACTGTTACGATTTTCAGTGGTGCCGAAGACAATCACGGCTATCTCTGGGACCGCCATTATGGAGTTTGTTTAGCCAAGTTCCCCCATCAAGACGTCGTAAATTCCGTCGCGTTCAATCCCAAAGATCCGGAAATGCTGGTCACCACATCTGACGATTTTCACATAAAAATTTGGCGATCTAGGTTCAAAGTTAAAGAATTAGGTTTAGATATTAACAATTTTGAGGTCGGAGTTGAACTAAGGAAGGAAGCTAAAAAGAGGAAAAGTTATAAGAGTGAAGTCGTACCGTTTTCACAGCACAGATCTAGGTAATAGGTTCGCTATAAAGCTTTATATAGACATATATACAATTTAAGTAGATAATCTAATATATAAAAAAATGACACCAATTTTTTGGACGCTTTAGCAATCATTTTTATCCGTTTAAAATTAATTAGAAAAATATCCAGTGCTTAGAGAGTAAAATTATTTAAAATCTGTAGCTCTGTCCATATTAACGTTTTACAACCACGTCGAAGTGAATCCATATCTGTCATGCAATGTAATAATAGATATACAGGGTGAGCGGAGTTACTTCACAGTGTCCATTAACAAAAAATAATTTTGGTATATTTATGTTCAAAATATTCTTTGCATATGCAAATAATGGGTTTAGGTGTAAAAAAATAGTGGGGTGTTAATGTGCACCGATTTTGCCGGTGTGTGTGCGAGCGTTCTTACTCCCTTGGTAAGAAAAAATACTGGTTTTTATTTATTTTACGAAAAATTATTGACAAATTAATATTCTTAAAGCTTCATTCTGAACCTCGCAATTAGTAGAATAAATTAGTGGTTTCAATTAGCGTAGAAGTTTGTTCCTTTAATTTCAATGTAAGAATTCAGAACGTCAAAATTAGTGGTAGACATTTTCAATTAGTAGAAATACGAGTAGTTATCAAAATTTTAACTTTTCCACTAATTATAATTCAAAATTTGCGAGAAATGTCATTTTGGTCTTTGATTATCTTCCGTCATGAGAAATTATGGTTAGAAATCAAAAGTTGATTGTTTTATAAGCTAAATATTAGGCTTTCTCTGTAGATACAACTGACTAACGCAAGCTGTTGCTAGGATATTCTATTAATTTTAATTGTGTTTTGTAAAAATTGTGAATGATCGTAAACTAAAAAGTATAAAGTGTAATTAAAACCACTAATTTGTTCCACTAATTGGGAGGTTCTGAATGAAGCTTAAGTCCCTATGAATCTATGGAATTGGGTACATGAACGTAAAATAAAGTTTTGAGCATTTTTTTATTGACTTTTTTTTCGCTATTTTATCACCTACCTTACTTTTTGCATGTGCAAAGAAGATTTTTGAAATCTATAGACATAAAAGTTTTTCAATTTTATTGCATAACCTTTATGTTAATATGTTGATAGTAAGTTTGTTGGCAACAATTTTTTCAATCCTGCGCTCTGTACAAATTATAAAAAATACTGAATCTAGTTATTAAATATCTATTATTTTTTTCTTTCATAAAATAACATAAATCTTGGTTAAGGAAACATACATGTCACTTAATATTGAAGCTCCGCAACCTAGTAAATTTACTATCTCAATGTTAAAGAAATTTATGTTTATTTTTGTGTATATAAGTATCTAGTTTTTTTAGGATTTTATTAAAAAAGTTATTTACCGAATAATCGAAAAAACGGCGTCAAATTGTCTAGAAAATTATGATCGAGGACATTCACCATATAATTTAACATAAAATGACTAGTCATCTTCATTTCCGAGCAAACCCTTACGCCATTTTTTTATTTATTGATACCGATTTTTATTGATGGCTAATATGAACGAAACCTTATGAAAATTTGTTATTTAATTTTAGTAGTTTATCATGTTATATTGGTTGCAATCAAATAATGTGTACAATATTGTTATGAATTAAAATTCGTTGTACATTTGAAAATGAATAAGAAGCCCCAAGTAAAATGGTGTCATTTTGACATTTCTTAATGTCTAATATTTGTATATATTTTTTGGAATTCAGCAGGCTATTATTTATTTCTATTCATTCACAATATTGCTTTAGCTATGCCGGTATAAAGTTTGTGTATTTAAAAACGTTAATTTATTTTTTGCTTATTCTACAGGGTGTGCCCTAAAATATGCAACGAATAGGGACATTTTTATTATTTGAGTTATTGAAAAAAGTTTAGGGCGGAATTATTTCACTATCTCAGCAACTGTCATGGTGAAAGTTAAAGATAAAGGGTTTTTATGTGTTTGATTAGACGATTAATTATATGCAGTTTTATAAATATACTGCCTTTTTAAAAATTATCAATTTTGGATATTTTTCGGAAGATTTTCAAAAAATCATATGTTTTTAACTAGAATTTTATTGGAAATTTTTGTAATTTGGCACCATAACACTTGTTTCATGACATATGCTAGAAAATTTTATTTTTGGACACACTGAAATAATGTCATGTAAACTTTTTTCAGTAAAATAATTTTTACCCTTTGTTGGGAACTTTATGGCGCACCCTGTATAAAATTAATTTTTAATATAGACTCTAAGTATAAACTCAACAGTGTTGAGGAGTTATTGTTTCCAAAACACCTGTGCAATTACTTATACTTACTAGATTTTGGAAATTATATCAGAATAATTTATACTAGATTTATACATTTATAATATATTCTTTATACTTTATAATATCAACTTTATAAATAATGCTGTGCATATTTGAGATGGAGTTTCTAAATTAAGTTTAGTATAACAATCATTGAGTGAGATATCTATTAAATGATATTGTTTCAACATAAATATCAACATTATTTTAAAAATAATCCAGAGACAAGCAAAATTGTGAATTTAGGGTTTCCAATTTTCGGGATCGGGATCCCATTTTGAAATCCCGTGATAAGAACTTATAATCCCGGGATCCACAGGGATTGATTATCAGAATTATATTTTTTTAAATCTAAAGAAATACGTAACAAAAATGCAGCTACATAATATTATCAAAAAGAAAATGAGAAAAGGGCTTTATTAAAATAGATAAGTCAAAGTAACATTCATATTTAGTAAGTAAAAAAATACTATTCTTGTTGCAATAAAAAATGAAATATAGCAAACACGGAAATGTAACTTTTAGATATTGATGTTCTGCTTAGTATAAATAAAGTATGGTCTTTGAAAGACTAAAGTGCATAAAATCGAAGCATTTTAGATTTTAGGGATCCCGGGATTTAATATCGGGATTTCGGGGATAAACATACACCAGGATCCAGGTTTGGAAGCCCTACTCATAATGCATTAAAACATTAGTAGGTTTTATATTGATTTTTAATAGATGATAAACAAATATTGAATTTTGGTTAGACTTATTGGATATCGATTTGAATCTCTCTGTGTATTTAATATCACAGGGTACAAAACGTGTTCAAGAAGTTTTATGATCAAGCATGCAGTAGATAATGACAGATAAACATTGTGTGAAAAATTATACATTACAATTTCTTTAACTGTCAAAGACAAAGATCACTTGTTTCTAAAACTTTTTGATTGGTAGACCTATACTGTAATATTTCTCTTATATTTTGTTTTTTATACATAATGAAGGATTAATTTATTTGCTAACAATATCTATCATATCTGTATATTTATTTGAATATTTTACAAAGACACAACTTTTTAAAATAAAGTATTTACAGAAATAGTATAAAATATTAAATCATATGAATTTCAAGTTACTTGTATGTTCTTGACTTGTGTATTCTGAACTATTGTAAGCAATTTTCGTAAATAAATTTTAGTGTGGTTTTAATTTGATTTTTGGAATACCCTTTTTTGAGAAACTAGTAAGGTAATGTTTTTTTGGTTATTTCTTATCACATCTTATCACAAATCCATTACTCCGTTAGTGTGTAATTCACAACATATTATTGGCAGAAGAGTAGCAATACAGGGTCCGGCAATAGTGCGTCGGGTATCTGTAGCCTGTAGCTCCTAGAATAAAAAACTTAAGAATTTTGTTTAAGTGCAAACCCAAAGTATGTACCAGGATGTATTTCAGGGAAATATTTTAATTTCTATAGGGTGGCTCAAAAAAGTGTGAGTGGATCGGGATGATTTTTTTTTTAAATGGAACACCCTGTAGGTGTATTATTTTAGGGCATTTTTGGCTTCCTTTCTGACCACTTTACATAATCCTAAGATATTAGTAAATATATTTCAGTAGCTTCAGAGATATTAATAAATAAAAATAAAAAATATATTATTTTGCAGTATTTCTTAAAAAGTTAAAAATCAACACTATATTAGGTATTTATTTTAGATGGTCTGCACTTAACTTCGCTGTAAACATCAAAATCTTAAATCATACAGGGCGTTCAAAATTCTACTCCAAACTTTCTAAAATACAAAATAACTTTTCTTCATTTCTTTTTAAATGTATATGATTTGGTTAATAGACGGAGAATTAAAAAACATTAACACAGGAAATGTTTATCAAAGCCACCCAATGATTTTTCCTGAAGATTTTTCTCTCAGGATTTTACCGTTGAAAGAGCCATATGAAATAATATCGCGAATCGCGAGTATCTGCGAAACTGTTCAAATTTTTGAAATACTATAAATACAAAAAATGTTCATTTTTTAATTCCCCATCTAATAGAAAATAATCTACAGGGTGTTCCATTTAAAAAAAAGAAAAATTATTTTATATTTTAGAAAATTTGGCGTAGAATTTTGAACACTCTGTATAATTTAAGATTATGCCATTTATAGTAAAGTAAGTACAGTCCATCTAAAATAAATACTTAATATAGTTTTGATTTCAGGACAGTTATTCTTGTATTTTTAATATGTTTTTTTAAGAAAGGCTGAAAAATATATATTTTTATTTATTTATTAATATATCTGAAAGTACTGAAATATATTTACTCACATCTTAGAAGCCAAAAATGCAATTATATACAGGGTGTTCCATTTAAATAAATCATCCTGATCCACTCACACTTTTTTGAGCTACTCTGTAGAAGTTAAAATATTTTCCTGAAATACATCCTAGTATACAGGTTGTTAATTGGTTTATTACTCGCGGCAAGAGCTTTATGGTTGAAATATGGCAACCTCGGCCCGCTCTTCGATAGACGACGCGACGCGCGACGGGACGAGTCGGCAGAAAACCCTATAAGTGCATGCGTTCTCAATAGGCAGTGTTGCCATTCTGTTCCCCTATAAGTAACTGTCCAGTTAACAACCTATACTTCAGGCTTACACTTAAACAATATTCTCAAGTTTTTTATTCTAGCAGCTACAGATGCCCGACGCACTATTGCCGGACCCTGTATATTAATAGGTAATAACCAATTAATTAAAAATTGTACAAATTCTTATGAATTTATCAGAACTTACAATATAGTGTGCGCCCCACTCATTTGTAATATTTATTTGCATTCAAAGTTCTTCTGTCGCACTTCTTTTATCTTTACTTAACTGATAAAATCACGTCAGCTTCATTTAATGAATCTCAAAGTACCTACTGATAGGTAGTTTACTCTTGTATGCAACTGTAATCTAAAATCATTTGTATAACAAATAAGTGGAAAAGAAGGAAAAATTAAAGAGTCGTGGTAATTTCAGTCATTTTAGTTAATATCGATAAAATATGAAATTGAACATTAGCAACAAAATTACATTTAAAGAACCGTAAAAGGAATGATTTAATGAAAATATCTTAAAACAAAATAGTATATTTAAACACCTTGTGATATCTACTCTATTGAAGCCTGTCCTGGCTCTCCTGAACATGGAACTGGTAAATCCCTACTAACAGTTTCTGTCACACTGGAATCTTCATGCTTGGTTGTTGTACTGTCACTTTTTTTCTTTTCGACGTGGCCTTGACAATGTTCACACTCGTCATCTGAGGAGTCCGAAGATGAGCTTTCACCAAATTTCAGCGGTTTCTTGTAAATGCAACAACCTGAAAACAAACCGATCTTATATGTAAAAATTTACTCAATCATCCTGATATATTAAAATATATTAGTAGTAGCTGAATTTTACTTACATTTCGATTTTTTCTTTCCTAAATTTTCATTATCTACTGTTTCTGTACTCCACTGTACTTTTCTATTTACTTTGGGTTTTTTTAATTTCACTGTAACTCGTGGAACAGAATGATCCTGAAAAATAATATTTTTTAAAAGTGTAGATCAGTCATTTATGAATGTCAAATGTCACTATTGAAAATTTGGTCATTCTAAATCAGATCTATATTTTTATTAGTAAGACAAAGATAATCATTCTTAAGTTTTAAATAGTATACAGGGTGTCATATAATCGTGTATTCGTTGAGTTATTCTACAGGTAAAAATAAAACAAAAAGTTCCTATGAACATGTGCCCTAAAATGCTTTCCTAAGAAGTTACAGCTCTCGAAAACGTAAATAAAAATAATATATTTTGTTTATTTTTAAGAACATTGTAAATATATACAGGGTGCGTCTCAAATGTGACTCAAACCTGTAACTTTTTTATTTTTCCAGTTAAAAAAACGAGATTTCGTATTTTAATATATGACATAAATTAGGATTGATTGAGGTGTTCAATTATTTTCGGTTACTTCCTGTTTCACCGGAAATAACCACAACTTTTGATTTTTAAATGGCACCTTCGGTATTTTTTTACTTTATTAGCTAGATTATCTGAATAGAATGACATATCATATGTCAATTTTTGACATTTTCGCATATGGTTTATTTGAAATTATAACTTGCGGTTCGTAACGAAAATTTGACTCGAAATACCAAGTGTGTGGTATCAAATTATTCGTAAAAAAATGCTTTTTCGGAATATGCTATTGAGCCACAAGCCAAAGCAAAAATACGATTTGTGCATTTTCTAACTGGTCAGGACAAGACACTAAAAACATTAGAGGATCAAATCTATTTTTCCAAGGCTCCTTGATTAAGAATTACTGTTTTTAACATAGCCATGACACTCTAGATTGAATTTTAAAATACCATTTTTAATTAAGCGAGAATGTCAAAATTTGACATATGATCTGTCATTCTATTCAGAATGTTATTTTTTATCGAATAAGGTAAAAAAATACCGAGGGTGCCATTTAAAAATCAAAAGTTGTAGTCATTTCCGGTAAAACAGGAAGTGACCAAAAACAATTGAATGCATTAATCAATCCTAATTTGTCATTGACACCCTGTATATAGGGTATCTCTACCATTGCCTTACCGTTTGAAACTTGAGAGGGAAAGAGACCTCTTTTTCCTTGTCAAAGGTTTGAAATATAGACCACTGATTTTGGTTTATGTGGTGTTTATTTTGTAGTTTTTGGTTAGTTCTTATTGTTTAAGGTTGTACAAATTAAACAACAGGTATTATGTATAACAATTTATCACAAATTATATTTACACAATTCATTAAATTACACAAATAAGTAGAATAAAAGCTAAACACCTTTATCATGTTAGGTATTAGTATAAGTACCTAACAAGGGATAAAATATATAAAATAGTAAAAAAAGAGTAAAATACAATAACAAGAACACCATAAACGATTTTTTTAAGAAATTATATTGCTATTTTTGAGGTCATTAATTTCTTGTTCACCATACTCTAATATATCTCTTAGTATGTCTGCAGTATGTTGTCCCAGTATAGGTGGCGCACTACGAATTTCATTTCCACCATCACTGTACCTAACAGGAGGCCCTACAACCTTAACTTTACCTGCCACAGGATGGTCTAAAGTTTTCACTATGTCAGTATATTTTACATGGGGATCATTAAATACAGCTGTCAGATTATTTACAGGGCCGTTAGGGAACGAAGATTGACTAAATATTTCTTTCCATTTATCATTGGTTTTTGATGATAATTTTTGACTTAAAATATTTATCAGTTCGTCTCGATTTTCAACTCTTGTTTTATTTGTTTCGAATTTTGGATTTTTAGATAAATTATCTAATCCTAATAAATTGCACAATTCTACAAATTGTTTGTCTGAGCCAGTGCCAATGGTATAATATCCATCTTTAGTAGAAAAAGCCTGGTAAGGAACAATACTTTGATGAGCTGTACCCCATCTCGATGCCTCTTTCCCTGCATTAAGATAATTAGAGCCTATGTTAATCAAAGTTGACAACTGCGTGGAGAGCAGATCACAATCAATTTTCTGTCCTTGACCCGTTTTTAGCCTCTTCAGAAGAGCAGCCAATATAGCTCCATGAGCATACAATCCTATCAAATAATATTATTAAATATATTTTAAATTTGGTATTTTTTTATATAATATACCTGTGGCAACATCAACCAAAGCTACCCCAACTTTACACGGTTCCCCATCCCTTGGTCCGGTTATATGTAACAATCCACCCAATGAAGCAGCTATTACATCATAACCAGGCCTCTTGCTATATGGACCATCTGGTCCAAAACCAGTTATTGAACAATATATCAAATGTGGAGCTATATTTTTAATATGCTCGTACCCTAATTTTAATGAATCCAGTTTTCCGGGAACATAATTTTCAACTAGAACATCTGATACTTTAGCAAGAGAATAAATTATATCTCTGCCTTTTTCTGTCTGTATATTAACACAAACGCTTTTCTTATTGCGGTTAAAACAAACAAAGTAACAGGACTCTTTCGTTTCACCAATGAAAGGTGGACCCCATAATCTTGATTCATCTCCAGTGCCAGGTTTTTCAATCTTTATAACTTCTGCACCTAAATCACCCAACACCATAGTGCAATAGGGACCTGCTACAATTCTTGTTAGATCTAATACTCTAATTCCTTCTAATGGAGATTTTGTTGTACATTTGTTACTTTTATGTAAGAGTTTAAAAGAAGTATTTTTGTTAATATTATATCCACCTTTTGGATAAAAACAAGTTAATAAAGTACGACAAAACATTGTTAACGCTTAGATATAGTAAAGAAATTTAAAATTAAATATTAGATAACAAAAATAAATTAACGATAACAAGTTTACCTGTTCATCAGCGGTTTCAACCAAGGTCACAGTCGAAGTAGAAGTTTCTGGGTGTTGTGGAGATGGTACTGAGTCAGACATAATGTTTAAAGTATTTTTTTAGCTTATATAAAATTAATAATTTAGATTTTAAGTAATTTATTTATCTTCCTAGTTATATTAGATATGTAATTTTTAATACTGATTTTTAGGTTCAAAACGTTCAAAACAAACGTTTATTGACATTTAAGAAAGTGACACTGACACAAAACATATGATCCAATTCTTCTTTTACGTTTGGTGTAGGCATAGACACACTTACTTATATCCTGTATTGTTAGTTTTCTATACCCTAGGTTCAGGAATGGGCGTGTAAAAAACTGCAGAAAAAAACTATTTTTTAAATTTCAAAACATAGTATTTTACATGTTTTTTACGCTTCATAAAAACGCAAATAAAACGTACGGTTATAGAGAGTTCTCGTAACCTTAAGTAAATACGGTAACGTAATAAATATGGTATTTTGAGGGATAAATTCATATACCTACAGGGTGTCCCAATATTCCGTGGACAGAACTACTACGTATTTTTGGAATCAGAAGAAGTTCATTGGACACAATTTAAATTTACCCCTATATAAAAGTGCTTTGTTTGTGCATTAGATGACATCTAATAACAACTTTAAATAAATATACACATACACATTATTAATTTAAGATATTTTAAAAACCCTTATTCCGATTTCAATGAGATTTTGGGTGTCTATGTTTTGCTAAGTACGGTAATAACATTTGACTTTTACAAAAATCAAGAAAATATGTATACGCGTGAAGGGTGAAAATTACCTCTACCTCCAAATAATTTTTAGTAGAATTATTTTTAAACTCCCTACCGACGACTCTTTTTTTTTGTAAAACGGTCCTTGTAGTGTTTACTACATTTTTTCTCTCTTGTAAAACAACGCCTCCGCGCATAATTTTTGAGAAAAAAAAAATCCGAAGCTGACTTCCAAAAAATGTTTCCTGACACATCAAGCTATATGCAGGCGCACAAAATCTATTATGCGCTAATAATCTAGTCGCTGAAAATATGGAATTTTATGTTAGTATCACAAATTATATTTGAGAATAAGGTTCATAAAAAGCTTAAAAAATAAATAAATTTTAATTTAATTAACGTTTGGATTTTAGGATTTATTGGATTTATTTTTGATTGATGCCCTCTAACGGTCAAACGAAGCACTTTTGTATAGAGTTAAATTTTAGCTCAGTCACGTTGGAACCCGCTTTAACAGCGCTTACAGATGGAGCGGACCAAATACAGGGACCAAAGGAGCGGACCGTCCGGTCCGTCGAGTTTTTTCAAGATAACCGTCGGACGCACTCCGTCGCGTCGGGCGGAGCATACGCGCTTAGGGAGTGCAATCCCGCACCAAAATCTTAATCCCACAAACATGAGGGATTAAAGCAATCAATCCCGCGGATCCGCAAAATTGCGGGATTGTAAAGAATAATCCCAAACTAATCTTGAGCCTTTATTCTCTTTGTAAACTACACTGACACTCATTTTAGTAATTAAGTGGTTTAGTTTACATTCGACGTAATACAAGTAATCTATTTAACTAAACTGCCGGACATAATTATCGGGACAAGCAAAATTTTAGGGTAAATTTAAAGTTGAATATCTCTTGAACTAAAAAAGATTTTGGGATGCGGTTTGGACCAGGTTTTAGACGCATCTATTGTGATTAAGATGCTATGTGGTTTTCTAAAATATATTTAGCGAATTCTCGTATACGGGAATTCCTGGTCCAAACCGCATCCCAAAATATTTTTTAGTTCAAGAGATATTCTTTAAATTTGCACTAAAATTTTGCTTGTCCCAATGATTATGTCCGGCAGTTTATTTGAAGAAATTGTCTACAAATACTAGTTAAACGCTTTGCTTCACTTACGCACATACGCCAGAAAGAAATCTAACAACTAACCTGTTTGGGAAGCCGTAAGGGGAATCCCCGGGGTTCCGAGCGTCGACGCATCGGCCCAGAACGAAGCGGTTTGACCTTGATCGAGATCGATTCGGTTACCCAGTAGTAATGTAGGGATTCCCGCAGATCCCGCACAATCCCGCACGGTAAATCCAGTAACTTTGATCCCGCGGAATCTCAGAGGGATCCCGCATTTGCGGGTTCCAGCATTTGCGGGATTGCATTCCTTATACGCGCTCATGTGAAATTGTTCATATAAACTCATGGTACCACTTGCTAGAAGTCGCGGACGGTCCGTTCCATCTGAAAGCGCTGTAAAGTAAACATTTCGTTTTTTGGCTTATTATCAACTACAAACGATGCAATTGATTGTAGTAAATTCAATATTTTTTAGTATTAATAATTAGTCAGAAAAAGTAAACAATTGAGCGCAATGTAAAGAAAAAAAAATTAACAATGAATGTCTAAAAATCTTCAAAATCGTTTGTAGTATTATATAGTAGCAAAAAAATCAACGAAAGTTTCTTGGAATTGGTGAATTATAGTAAAATTTGGAAATTAACATAGTTTGACATAATGTTCTTTAGTTGTATACAACCTACAAACGATGCAATTGATTGTAGTAAATTTTTGTAGTAAGAATAATTAGTCAGAAAAAGTAAACAATTGAGCGCAATGTAATAAAGAGAAAAAATATTGATTTAACAAATGTTTAAAAATCTTCAAAATCGTTTGTAGTTTTATGTAGTAGCAATAAAACTGAACTAACTAGAAAAACTACTAACAGAAAAAGTAAACAATGGAGCGCAATGTAATAAAGAAAAAAAAATTAACAAATAATGTCTAAAAATTTTCAAAATCGTTTGTAGTATTATATAGTAGCAAAAAAATCAACGAAAGTTTCTTGGAATTAGTGAATTATAGTAAAATTTGGAAATTAACATAGTTTGACCTAATGTCTTTAGTTGTATACAAACTACAAACGATGCAATTGATTGTAGTAAATTCAATTTTTTTGTAGTACTAAATTCTTTTGAATAATACTACTTAAAATAATGAACGGAACTACGACGTAGTTGGGGATGCGGACCATGGTAGCAGAAAAATAAAAAGAAATTTCACGTCTAAAGGACTGTCAAGTCAACAGTTTTTTTTTAATTTTTTTCAGAGATTATCAAATCGAGATTTTTCACATCTCGTATATTTTTATGATTTTTTATCCATTTTTCAAGTATACTAGTTTTTTCGTAAGTTTCTTGAAAAGAGCGTGGCAGTTATTCTTTGTTTGCCAAACTTCGAAAAAAATTGGACAAAATGCATCTAGAAAGTCTACTCCCTCATCTAGCTACACCAAAGATATTCTGTGCTAGTGGTGAGAATCTTTGTCGTGTTCAGTTTGGTTTGGTTTTTGTTTTTTTTTCATCATATTGAACATTTACTCCAAAGTGCAATATGATGAAAAAAAAAACGGCGTCAGCGATGGCTACGAAATAAAAATCGTTGTTGGAATTTTATATGTAAAATTATATGGGGAATGATATCTAGAGGCGGATTACCCAATAGGCTAACTAGGCTATAACCTAGGGCGCCGAAGAAAAATAGGCGCCACGGTGACGGCATAATTATCCCTGGTTTGTAGGTGCTTTGCTACACCAAACTGGACATTCAAAATTTTTGGCGGATATTTCTTTACAAACAAAACACATAAATAATTGGATCAAAAATTGCCATTGTCGCGATAATCCTTTGATATTTATCGACAAAGTGCCGCAAACGAAAAAGACCGCCGGCGCCGGTGCGGCGTCTTTGTGCAGTCGGTTTGGCAAAACTCCTCGCGGACTTTATGTGGAGCTCCGTGCAACCTCACATTTAAAGTTTTGGCCCTGGCGAGACCGGTTAGGTTATTTATCAACTTCTAAAATATAAAAAAATAATTATCATTTCTATAGGGGTAGCTTATAGCGATATTTATTCGATATGTTACTGTAAATGTCTGAAATGCGGTAAAACCTAGGATTTACCAAAAGCAAGTGGTAGTAAAAACCAACCAACCCCACCAAATAACCACCTAACCAATGCATTAACACCCCTCAAATAACCAGGCTAACCAATGCATTAACACCCTCCAAATAACCAGGCTAACCTAATTAGTTAATGCGTTTGGTAAATCCTAGGTTTAGCGCGCTTATCCTAGGTTTTACCGCATTTCGGACATTTACAGTAGCAAATATAATATTTAAATTTTCACTACTTATTAGTGAAAAATGAAATATTCTTTTTGTAGCTACTCCTCAATAATAATAAATTGTTTAAGAATAAAAATATAGGCGCCAAATTTTTATTAGCCTAGGGCGCAAATATGTCTTAATCCGCCACTGATGTTATCGGCGTTCATCTCCAAGCCAACGGGATACGGGACGCCGTTTTTTTTCGATCATACGGTAGATATTTAATATTTACTTGTAATTCTCACTTCCTTTTTCTATCTCACTTATTATCCCAGCTGATTTTTCTTCGACATTTCCCGGTGTTTTTAAATGCTTTTCGCTTCATTTCCCAACTAAAGGCAAACATTTCGTCGAAGACATACCACTGAATTATATATTAAGGAAAATTACGTTATATTTAATTTCCACTCGAGCGATGCCGCGTTCGAGGTTGATTTAAGAGAAATATGGAATTTGCGGCGAACGGAAGACTAGAGTCCTGATAAAAGATGTACGACAAACAGGATTACGTCGGGAGCTATTGAAAACGATGAATTGTTGACAGGGAAACTGTCAGCTGGGTCTAAGCGGCTTTCGAATGAGCGCTATTCGGTTTTAGTTAACCGTCGAGTACTTATATATTCGCGCTACTGCTATTAGGACATATATTAAACGACATAACATTTATACAGTAAGTTTTCTGATAAATATTTAGTGTTATTTTACACGGATCGGACGGTCTGGTCGCCACAGAATAGACAACAGGCATCGGGGAACGTATTTGTTATATTTAGTTTCGTTTTGCAAATTTATATATTTGAAACACTACGTTCTGTTGAACTGGACAAAGCAAAAATTTATTTTAAATCCTCTTCACAATAACGCCAACAAATCCGAAACCGAAATCTCGAAACTGGTTAGCGCAAAAAGCGCGGAATTTTCGACTAAACACGGCAAGTTTCGATTTTCCGAAACAAACATACATATTTTCGTTCCAAGTGGCACTTATAATATTTAAAATATTTTATTATGCAACGGGAATAAAGCCCGGATAATATTTCTGAATTGCGTTGGGAATGGCGGGAA